GTCGACCGATGACGCCGCCAAACAGTAACGACTAGTTTTCAGTTTTTCTGATTTTGGGGGATTTGCTTTGGTTTTTGTTTTGCTTTGAATTTGGGCTGTTTTCTTGAGAAACTATAAATACCCCTCAGCTCTCATTTATCGCATTAACCAAGAAATTTAAGAAAACAAAGAGAAAATATTTAAGTTTTGTTTTTTAGACTTATTAAGCTTTAACTTTCTCTCATTCTCAAGTTCTCAATTTTCGGTTTTTACTTTCACATCCCACAAACCCCTGAGCTTCAATCGTTCATCTCTTCATCCTTGCTATAGGATATTTGTAAAAGAGTCTTATTTTTCTCATCTTGTATTGTGTGGAGAGTGAGATCTCGAGGAGATCATTGTGTGGAGAGTTCGATCTCGGGGAGATTATTATGACGAAGTTCCGGCTTTCAAACCGGGTTGTGTAGTGGATTACCACCGGGAAAGGTGGTCAATGACGTAGGTTGAGAGGACCGAACCTTGTGAACACATCGTCGTCTATTGGCTAACTATCTCTTATACTCTCTTTTAATTATTGCTATATTTGTGTCTTAAATTGTATTGAATTTTTATTAGTCGCACATTATTGTTTGATTACCCTATTCACCCCCCTAGGGTAATTTTAAGTCCCTCACATCTTCATATTATGAAATTAGTCTCCAAAGTTTTTTAAGTACTCGAATTACTACTTTATATCTTTATGTTTTAAAATTAATCTCTTAGATATTTTTATTGTTCTGAAATCAATTCCTCAAATCTTTCATTTAGGGCCTGTTTGATTATTTCCTAAAAAACCAAAAAATAGAAATGAAAACCAAGAAATCTTAAAAAGTACAATTTCACACATTTTCATCCCTAAAACTCACCCACAACATCTAATAAAATATTATTTTTATCCAACAACTCATCCACCACATCTAATAAAAATATTATTTTTATCCAACAACTCATCCATCACATCCACCACATCTAATAAAATATTATTTTCATCCACAACATCACTCTACTCATCTCATCTCATATTTAAAAATCACTCACATCATCCAATAAGATTGTGACAACTCACCTCATCTAATTAACATTTCATTTCTTTGTTTTCCTCCCAAAAAGCTAGGAAAACAATTTCCTTAAGTGTGGGTCACATCATCCAATAATATAATGACAACTCATCTCATCTCATCTATTTTCTTATTTTTAAGAAATAACCAAACAAAAGAACACAACCTAATACAAGAAATATGTTTCTTATAATTCATTTTCTTATTTTTTCCGCCAACCAAACAACATCAAAACAAGTTTTCTTAAAAAATCACTCACATCATCCTATAATAAGGTGACAACTCATCTCATCTCATCTCCATTTCTTTGATTTCCTTCTTTTTTAGCCAACCAAACAATCCCAAAACCTATTTTTCTTAGAAATAGGTTTCCTTTTCTTTGATTTCCTTCTTTTTTTAGGCAAATAAACAGCCCCTTAGCTGCCATCAGGGAAACTAACTTCAAAATATGAAGATCCAGGGGATACTTTTCAAGCACTCAATAGATTTGGGGACTAATTCAAAATATGAGTATTTGGAAGACAATTTTTGGAATATGAAAAATCTTTGGATTAATTAAAAAAAACCCTATTTTAATATTTTTTGAAAAATCCAACAGAATCACAAGATTTTTCTCTATGATTTGAAACTGATCCTCTTCTTATATTTTAAACTCGTTTTCTATGCATTCCGTAATCCTTTCCCTAGTACATAAAATCAAATATTATATATTTTTTTCCTGTATTTTAATGTCAACTCAAACGATGCAATGAAATTGAATTGTGAGGGACGAATTTTATTTATTTTGGTTTAGCAAGACATTTATAGATGTTATTTTAATTTTGGTGTTTTGTTATAATGAACTAATCATAGTTTATTACATAACAATAAAAGTACACACATTAGCATATAGTAGGGTAAAAATGTTACCATGTGTATTTTTTACCAGTGTTTACTGATCATTTACTAAAAACAGTGAGAATTTTTAGATTAAAATGATAGATCCATGGATTACCTTTTGGAATTTATTATTTTTTGGAAATTAAGAGAGAAGTCCCAAACTTTTCATGATGACAAGTGCAATAATCATAAAAGCACTTTAATAAGGGTCAAAAAAAAGAAGGAAACCAAAGCTTTTTATTAATCACGAACCCTCTAGCTGTAACACGAATATATGCTATCTGAAGTAGTGGAAAATAATTATATTGTTTCCTTTTTTGTGCTATGCTATGCTATGCTGGCCTTGGCTGACAAAATTATTTGTTGGCTAGAGCACCAGCTCCATAGACTTCATTGATTAGTGATTAGTGACGCAAAATTAGCAAAACTAAGTTTTTTTCCCTGTTCATTTTTTTTTCTTTCAGGGCATTTCCAACCCAGCACCAAAATGGTGCAAACAGTGCTTTTTGTTGTATTATTCATTCTCCAACCTAGCCCCATTTTCTGCGTCATTTTATTGCAGTTGAACAGTGCTGCACCAAATATGGCGTTGCACTGTTCATCCGCTCCATTACTGTTTATTTTTAAAAAAAAAAATTTAAATACTCATTTTTATCTCTTAATTAATATAAAAATAGATAAAAGGAAATAAACTGAGAATATTCTGAGAATATTCTTTTTTGGTGTAAAAAATAGTGAAATGGGTTGGAGATGTATTACTGTTTGATGTGACTTTTGCACCATTTTAATGCAAAATTTGCACCATTTTAGTGCAATGGGTTGGAGATGGTCTCAGAGAGGAATTTTCCTCAATTATTCTCGAAATTATTGTCCGTTATCTATCTAGATAAAGTAATTAAAAAACGTATAATTTTACTCTTCTTAAAGATAAGATATTCCTCTATAAGAGCTTCAACAACAGCTGATGGCATTATACTATGAAATGATACTTTCGCATATTTCGTGATTTTTGAAGCCAACTACTTCGGGGGGTGGGAATAGGGTAAACTTCACTCAACCCGGCCCAGTAACTTTCGGAGGCATAAACGCCGAAGGGCCCAAACTTACTCGGTGGCAGCGAAATATATACTCAGAAAAATAAGCTAAATTGCACTTATGTACCCTATCACCTGCTGGTTACACGGTTATTTTAAATGTCATATACCCTCATTGATTGTATTAATTACAATTTTACCTACCCCTTTAATGTGCTAATTCTCAGCCCAGCTGCGACTTTGTACTGTTAAGGTCAAAACCCCAATATAGGCCAACGTATTGAAGGCCTAGACCAGAGCCCATGCGCGTTCTGCTCCTCTACGTGGGCTCCGAGGCTCTAGCGCAATAAATTAGTGGTAATGGGCTACATTAGCCTCGCTAAGAGTAAGCCAGCAGAATATTAAAAACTCATTACGCCCATCACCTTCAAGAAGCCATCCCTAAGTTGGATGGTAAATATTGTTGAGTTTTTTTAAAAAAAACGTTTAAAAGAAACCATCCATTTTGCAATATAATAGATGAGAAATTTTACACTACGTATTTCTAGAAACCCACGGTCTAGAATATCAACACATGTCTAAATACAATTGATGATCTGAATATGCGTCACGTCATGGACACATCTGCTAGGCATGCAAAAACTCCCACTTACTCCCATTATCGGTCATCTCTACCGGAAAAACCCCATTCCTCAGCACCACAGAACATGGACGAGTCCAAAAGACCGGCAACCTGCATACGTAACGGATCAAGTGGACCTCGTGGCTCCCATACCACTCATGCTACTTGGATAAATCATCCGGTATTCCTGTTATTATTCCAGAGGACATGGATCACTCGCTGAAAATTATGTTGACATGATATCAGTGAGTCCCCCTGGTATCATGGGTCCATGGGCCCTTGACCCATGGATCGATCACATGCGATCCATGCACATGACTCGCACATGCCTCTCACGCTCACATCCCCAAACCACATGCTCACAGGCCGCAGCAATCCAGCGTGATGTTGATAATGGAAATGGGAAGATGATAAGAGAACGAGACACGTGATATCTTTCTTTCTTATCTTCGTATGCTTTAAATTTGCTGGGGCCAAAGTTTGGCTACACATTGGATATAAACCAATCCGTGATGAAGAATGTTACGGTCTTTGTTTTTATTCGCAACGGTTACTAGAAGTATGTGCTAAGCTTCTGTAGCCAACGGATGACTGTAACGGGCAATTTTTTTTTGTCTGCATGCAAATCCAAAGTAGAAGGTCCTGAAGCTAGAAATTTGGAATAAAAGGACAACAAGATTAGAATGTTAAGCATAGTGAATATATTCCTTTTGATTGAAGTTATTATTGAACAGGTCACGGCACATGTGCAGGTCCTTTTTGAGTCTCGATCATCGACGCCCCAGACCTGTAAACATTAATAAGCGGATATGTACGTTTCATGAGAACGTAACTTCATCAAATGATCAAAAATCCTCGATGCCGTATCAAATTAGACAGCCAATTTATTCCCCGCGGGTGATCGGTTGGAGATGTTTTTCGATGCTCCATAGTTTCATTAATGCACCGTCATGGCGAAAATTTCAGACAAAACCGGGACCAGATTACAGTCAAAGGAGGAAATTTTGCCGACATCTCAATTGTTCTACACTCAAACCTGTAAAGCGAATCATAAAGTTTTCCAGAAAGAGAAGATCATCATGCTGTTTGAGAAAGTACCGTCTGTTTCAATTTCCTTGCTGCTTCAATAATTAGGAGACCCACACAGAGAGAACAGCAACACAATAACTATGAGCACAAGGAGTAAAAGGTTAAAGAGAGTCAATAGGCAAAAAGCTTGCAGATATATCTGTTTCCTTTTGCTAAAATCAAGCATACCCAATTTTGGTACCAATACAACGCAAGCATCCAACATTAGAGAGAAGAAGGGGGAAAATAAACCATAATTTAATAACTACTAGAATAGGGATGGATCAAGAACTATAGCTGGAAGAGCACAAGGACTAAAAAGAGCACAAGGACTAAAAGAGTAAAGAAAGCCATTAGGCCAAGCTGGGACATACATCTGTTTCTTTTACTGAAAACAACCATACCCAATTGATACCAATACAATGCATGTATTCCAAATTAGAGTAAAAAGAGATCCAAAATCCAATCACTACTAGGATAGGATGAGGATCGATGCACTAGAACAAGAAAGAACAGAGCGACTCGAATCAGCAACGCTACCACGACTGCTCCATAAACAGAGTTACAACGGAAGGCAGTGGGAGGTTGAGAAAGCTGATGATGATAACTGAACACAGATGCAAAAAAAAAAGAAAAAAAAAGAAAAGAAAATTTGTCTGATCTTCTTTCGTTTAGTGCTAGCATTGGCTGCCTCTACGACAGCCAAGGACTCCGGCGCCGGAGGTGATGGAGCCCACCATGGAAGAGGATTTAGCGCCGAGGCTGGAGGCTCTGGAGTAGCTTGCAGAGGCACCAGCTCCTGATGGGGTGAAGTACGCGCCATTGAGGAGGAGGTCACCTTCGGATCTCCAGTTCCAGCTCTTCCATACATTTCCTTCGGTGTCCACCCTTTTCGTTACCTGTATCCATTCGCTTTAATCAGTCAACCATTCTTAGCCCCAAAATCTACTGGGTAAGTGCGAGACGAGCCATCATGTGTAATCTTTACTATTGTTTTTCCCTGGAATTCTGTTGAAGCCCAAGGACTAACAAGGGCGATACCACACTTATCCCATAAATGGTCTACAACATTTTCTACTTAGCATGATTCTGAAGAATCTGAACTAATTATGTTTTCTAGTGGTTATTTTTCTAAATAAGAATCAATGGAAACCGGGGTTAGACCCCCATCTGCACTATCGTCTATTTTTAACGCCAACAATTTTGGAGATATACTTTGTTTGTTGTCTATGATTCTGGACAAAGATTTCGAAAAAGAAAGAAAGAAAGAAAGAAAGATTGAGTACCTCTTTGGCATAAGGATTCACTGGAGCAAGATATCGATTACCCTGGCTATTGATAGTTGGGTCAGCGCTACCACCAATTGCATACATCTCCCAGTGTGTATAGTCATTGTTAACAACATGGAAATATCCATGGCGGCATCTGCATTTTGCCATCTGTGTTAGAGAAGAACTGAAACTGATGCCAGTAGTCTAACAGGAATTCAACAAGAGATGTTTGATCACCTTGGCATTCTCTGAATCAGGCCTTCACCAAAATGATTAAACGCAATTGTCACCTGCATCGCCTTATCCCTCTCATAAGAATCACTGTGACCCAAAAGCATCACCTCATTGTGGTGAGTAAAGTAATTGTTCGAAATGGTAATAGCAGTAGATCCTATAACGGCATCCACAAGCCCATCGGCACAGTTTGAAAGCGAGCAATGATCAACCCAAATGTGACTCGATCCAAATATAGAAACCCCATCTCCATCAGCCATCGTCCTCCATCCATAATGCGAAGGCGAGCTCCTCACCATAGCATTTCCAGTGGGCTTACAATCATGGATATGCAATCCATGGATGATGATGTTAGTGACGAACTGGACGGTGATGCAAGCTCCGTTGGCAATGTGGACGTTGGCTCCACGACCATCGATGGTTTTGAAGCTGTTCATGATGAGTTCTTGCTTGAGAGTGATGACCATGTCACGCTTGAAGATGATCCAGAGGGGCTCGTCCTGGACGACAGCATGGCGGAGGGTACCTGCTTTCGGGTTGACAGGGTCATCGTCGCCAGGGTCGGTGACAATGCCATTTCGGATCGCAGCGCCAGCAGTCGTCAATGGGGTTGCCGGTTCCGCAGGAGAGGTAGCCGAGGGAACGGCGGGCTGTGTGGTTGTTAATTGTGCTGCATGATAACATCAAATTGAATTGAATTAATGAACAAATTTTGGGGGGAAATCATATAGAGGGCTTCTAAATCAGCATACTGTATAAGCAAAAACATCAATACCGCATCAAAATCAAACTTTTGCATTGAATTGAGCTGAAAACTAGGCAGTAAATTTTTGGGTTAAGTAATTACTAACTAAGCTGTAAGCTAGTGGACTTAAACAACATATTTACAGACAATGAGCAAAAGAGGTACTATTATAACTCTAATTCCAACAAGTACACGTGTGTCTCGCTATCAAATAAATAAGAGGAACACGATGGATGACTTTCTTTTTTCTTTATTTTTGAGGGGAACATAAGAGATGACATTAGTTGAAAGGAACCTTATCTATCTCAAGTGAAGTTTAGGCAATTCACAAGGGTTATGGTATTAATTTCATAACCATTTACCGACGTTTGTAACTGTGGTCCCTCCATTAACAACGATTAGTGGGAAGAAACCAAATTTCTTTTGAACTTACTACGATAAAATTATAATTAAAAACTTAAACTTTTCAAAAACTAAACTTGTGGTTAAGCAGATTCCTACAGGTTTGATGGTTGTGTAAAAACACCAAAAGGGTAAATTTATTTCTGTTGCATAACGCCCATGTTAGTGGCCCACAACTAGAAATTACTTGTAGCGGAGCGGCACTAAAGAGTAGCAATAAATTCTGTGGCCTCAGCATTGACTGCTGTGGTAACAAACTCAGCAATAAATGGACTCAAGCTCTCGCCTCTTTCATTAGTACAGGCTTCTTCCTGTGTTCAGGACAAAGTGAGGGCTGCAGCAAAAACGTGAAGGCAAAAGAATTAACATGGGCCCGGGCCCTGCTCTTACTAACAGAGGCCCTTTAATGCTACGTGGGCGACAGCACGTGATTAGGTGATGATAGAGTGTGATAGCTAAAGACTTTTCATTAAAAAGTCACAACTTCATATAACAGCTTTTATTACCATATATCCTTATTTACATCGAACCCCACTCCCAAACTTCCTTCTTTTTATTATGCCCGACTATAGAAAAATATAGCAGTTTAGACTCAAAAGAAAAATTCTCCAATGACCAAAAATATGGGACCGACAAGTGAGGTATCCCTCTCCTATTGGATAATGAGTCACCTCACTTGTCCCCTCTATTGGTCCCATATTTTGGGTCACTGTAGCAAAGCTCGACTCAAAAATATAGCGGCAAATTTTCATAAAAAAGTTTACTAAAAAGTCCACAATAATGTGAATAGTTATTTATTGTAATTAGAGCTTACGCATGGACTTCGGATGCAACCAATTCCGGATCGTCGACAGCGCCCACTACTGGCTCTCGTCCGGTCCTGCAAGGAAAGCAACCCAGCCACGAAAAAAAAGTTAAATGGCGAAATTAACCCTGAAGGTAAAGGTAAAAAAAAAATTCACGATATTACAATATTTTGCATCTCAGGAATCGAGATTTTAGCGATTTTTCAGGAGAAGTTCGCCGCTCGAGGTGGTCGGTGACACAAGAAGGAAAAAGAAAAGAAAAGACTCGCAAAGGGAATTTCTTTCTGCAGCTTTTACCGGATTGACCGAGCTATGCAATTTACCAAAATGCCCTCAGCGATCCTCCCCTTTTTTTTTCCTCGAAGAAAGCGAAAGGAGTTCAACCGGGTAACCGAAAACGAAGGGCCGAGATTCGATGCAGCAGATCCTGACGGTACGAATACCGTTGGATCTTATCACGATGAGATCGAATCGACGGTTGGGATTTCATCGAAAGGATAAAGAACGGTTGAGAGTAACAGTTGAGCATCTGTAACTGACCTTTGCTCTGCCGCCATTGGGGAAGCTTCGGATTCTTTAAGGCTCCTCCTCAATCCAACTCCATTGCTATACAAAAAGAGTAATTTCCTCAAATTTTACCGAAAACAAGGAAATAGCTCTAGAATTACCCGTTAAAAAAAAAGAAACTACTGCGATTCTCGCTGTTTGCTCTCGAATCCCTAAGGCAAAACATAATGTACCTCAAGAACGAGACTCTATCCCTAGCAATGAACCCAAAACCGCCAGCCAAAACCACCAGGACTCCCAAAACCACCAGAGAGATCCACTTCAGCGACTTCGCCATTACCGCCGCCCTCTCTCTCTCTCTCTCTCTCCTCGAAACCCTAGATCTCTCTCTCTCTCAATCCAACTCCATTGCTATACAAAAAGAGTAATTTCCTCAAATTTTACCGAAAACAAGGAAATAGCTCTAGAATTACCCGTTAAAAAAAAAGAAACTACTGCGATTCTCGCTGTTTGCTCTCGAATCCCTAAGGCAAAACATAATGTACCTCAAGAACGAGACTCTATCCCTAGCAATGAACCCAAAACCGCCAGCCAAAACCACCAGGACTCCCAAAACCACCAGAGAGATCCACTTCAGCGACTTCGCCATTACCGCCGCCCTCTCTCTCTCTCTCTCTCTCCTCGAAACCCTAGATCTCTCTCTCTCTCTCTCTCTCTCTCGAAGCGGCGATATCTCCAAAATCGATAAAAAGAACAAAAAGAGGAACAAAAAACAGAGAGAGAAGAAGAGCGCACCGAGCTTATAAGAGAGGAAAGGGACGAGTCCAAAAATGCACTAACGATACCGCCATTTTATAGATATGTTAACCTGACCACGGTTAACTTAACCCTCCACTTTCTAGTTATTTACGGAGCCATACCACTCACCCGAAACTTTAACCGCCACTAACGGATTCGGTGACTAGTAATCTTTTTGGGCCTTTTTTTTTACACCAGTACCTTAAAATCTCGAATATTATGATTAATTACATTAACATAAGATACGGTGCGATTACATAGGGACCCCTAAAAGTCTCTGTGTCTACACGAGTAGCATAAGGGTTAGGATGGAGTAAGGTTCAAGTTAGGATTATGTTTAGAGAAATAATTACTCACTAAAATTGTATTATGGTACTCAATTATAACTCTAATAATCAGTAACTTCTGCTATGATATAAACGATTCAACAATAACCCTAATCTTAAACAATGAACCGTAGTGGAAGCTACTTGCAATTGTAATGATTTTGAATGACGAAGTTCGGAACAACTCAGAGAAGATATATATAGGTACCTAATAGCAATTTAATTGATGCTGGGGGGCTAATTAGTGAAAAGACCTCCCCTCTTTTTAACCCGGGGCGGTAGTTACCCGGCGGTGTCGGCCGTCACGTGAGGGGGGGGGGGGAGGAGGTGAGCACCAGCTAGCCCCGGTCGACGTCTCAACAAACGTTACGTAACCTGTCGTGGGGGTGTGGGACCAGCGGGGATGCACGTGGGAATCGGGCTGAATGACCGACACGTGGCGCTTTAGGGAGGGCATAAGTCGGAATAAGTACCGAGATTTGAACTTTAGCAGGCTGAGATTACGGAGCCCATGCGAGGAGGGTTCGAGCCAATCATCATGCGCTCTCACGCGTGTCTCGGACGCAATGCGTCGGGTTTTGGGTTATTTACGGTTGCGCCATCGACCGAACAATTAGTTGAAATTGGCATTTAGTCTTAAAATTATATAATAAGTTGCTTAAAATTAGCCCCGATGGTAAAAAAATTCAGTGTGGATTGATGAGAATATATTATTCAATTAATTATACTCTTTTCTTTGAGTTTACATCCGAATTTAAACCTGTTCGGAAACCCAAAATTCAACATCTTTATCATCTTGCTCAAAGTTCAACGCCCTCCTTTACTTATTTACGGTAGGACAGAAGGAAATTTGTGATTTTGGGAGAGGAAAGTAATCTAACGTATTGGATTAGTCGGTAATCAGTATGTGCAGAAAAAGAAAGGGCCCGTTTAGTTTGATATAAATATTGAAAGTAGGAAATAGATAAAAGAAGTAACTTCTAAATTTATGAAGTACGAAGAAGCGGAAGTAATAAATTTTTTGTTTGTTTCACATATTTTTTAAAGTAGTGGGAGTAGTAGTTCAATTTTTTTTGTTTGAATAGCAACAAAAGTTGTTATGAAGTAACTAATAAAGAAAATATTAATAAGAATAATTATTTATTTCCTAATGAATAACCATTTCACCTACATCCAGGCTATTTCTAAGCCTTAAGGGGCGGGCAAATATTTACGAAGTAAGGATGACACATATGCGTCAAATCAAAGTTTAAGGAAGTATTGAAAATAGGTTTTTCAGATAAACAAACATGTTTTTTTTTTGCTCGGAAGTAACAGAAATAGCATCTATTTTTTTTTTACTTCAGGTACTTCATAATTACTTACGTGCAAACAAACATGCCCTAAATTATACGAATTGTGGGGCTAAATAGGAAATTTTCAGCTGTATGGGGCCTAACTGAAAACATGTACGATTTAAGCTACCAGTATCTTAAAAAAGAAATGTTAGAGGCACACCATGAGGCACACCTCCGGTCACACTCCCCCACCTGCTACAGTGCAGGGTTCGATGTGGGGGTGGGAGCGGAACAGGTTATAAAGGGGTAGTCATGGACTATAAGTTTGATCGCGTGATTACTGTTCTAAGAATAATTAAACTTCACCTGTCCTTTGAATTTAATAGACCTAATTACTTGCAGAAAAAAGTTTCTTTCAACAATTTATCCCTAACGTATTATTTTGATTTAACATATGCGTTTTGTTAACTAGTGTTTCTAGGAAACTCGTTAATTAGGAGAGAGACAGAAAATTTTATTAAAAGAGAGCATCGCTTGGAGTAACACTCGTGCGCATGATATGGACGATTCTTAGCCCTTGGATTTGGTTGACCGCGCCGCTTGATCCACTAGATCTTAAGAGCATCTCCAACAGCTTCTTCAAAATTTTCTCCAAAATGGGGAAGCAAAAGTCATATTCTCCAACTAATTTTTACACCAACTCCAACAGCTTTCCTATTTTGAAGAATCAATTTTTTCCTCCAAAAAATTGGAGAATGCTGCAGATTTGGGGAAGCTTCCCCATTTTTTCTCCTCCATCCCTATTTTGTGGAATGAGATGGGGAATCTGTTGGGCCAAAAACCTAACTAAATTCTACAAAAGTGAGAAATGAGGAAGCTGTTGGAGATGCTCTAAAGAGACCTAGTAATTAAGATGGTTGGAAAAAAATTAGTTGCCTTCATTAAACGCAAAAATCAACAAGAATATGATTGTGGAATTAAATTAGGTTGACCAATTGCCCTATCTTAATGCACACAAAGTTGGGCGCGTATTAAGTTTCGTCCCAACGATGGGATCGATCGAGGTGATGCACAAGCCGTCAGTGACAATTGAAAGTTAGTCGCATGGGATCATTGACTATGTTTTCAATTTCACACATCATCAATGAGCCTGACCTAAGGCAAAGTTAACTAAGGTCCCAAGCACATTTTAATACGAGCCATGAATATAACGAACTGTATATTTCTAATTCCTAATAATAGTTCCAGAATTTTTTATGTGATGACAGGGATTAATTTTAAGACGATACAACAGACTCAACTGGAACAAAATCAAACAATGATTGTTTTCTTATTACGTTGATCTATATATTATCCATGACTTACGTAGGACTCAAGCTCTCTAATTCGTATAATTAGTAACATGATTCGCATGTCTAAGTCAAAAATCTTGTATTAATAAGTTGACTATTATTTTCCTCGCAAGCTCATCTTTATGCCGGCCAAGTTCACATGTCCATAGATCACGAAACACAATATATTATTTTTTTCAATGTGCAATGTGTACTCGATCGACCAAGATTTTCCGAAGTAGGTACATAAGCAAATTTAACAATGAGAAAGAAAAAATGAAAAACGGGACTTATATGTGTTTAATGTGTATTAGCCATCCAACTAGAAATTCCTAATATGTAATTTAATAATAAGATTGTGGACTAGCTTATATAATCCAATTTAGTGATGCAACTATTTTACTGCTAACGGACCAATGTTGTGCAAGTGTAGTTCTAGTAGCACGCATTAAAGCCTCTTGACAGTATTTACAACATTTTCCCATAAGAAAGAGCTTTGCTACAGAGACCCAAAATATTGGACCAATAGAGGGGACAAGTGAGGTGTTCCCCTCCTATTGGATAATGAGTTGGCTATCATTAATGATGACCAACTCATTATCCAATAGGAGAGGGACACATCACTTGTCCCCTCTATTGGTCCCATATTTTGGGTCCTTGAGCAAAAGGAAGCTAGTTAATTCACTTAAACCCCCTGAACATTGGAGGATGTAATATTCATATAACTTTCAGAACCTAGTTTATTTCATATAATATCCCTTTAAACTTTCAGGTGCCTCATAAAATCTCCCTGAATGTCAAACTATTCTCACCAGACCACCCTACATGTAATTTAAAATAACTAAATTATTTAAGAGAAAAAAATTCAAAATTTGTCATTTACAAATGACATACGCACTATCTTAAAATTTAGATTTTTCCCCTCTCAATAGAATTTTAGTTGCTTGCAAATTACATGTAGTGTGGTACAACAAGAAAAGTTCAAGGTTCAGAGCGTTTTGCGAGACACACCAAAGTTCAGGGGGGTTAGGCAAGATAAAATAAAGTTCAGGGAGGGATGTGCAACTGAAATTAGTTTTCATTCCCTATCTTGAAATACTTTTCACATCATTTTTTTAATACATGTTTACATTAAAAAAAAATATCACCATGATTTGGTGGGACTTCACTTCGCGTAGTAGGAGTAAACCCAAAATCAACAATTTGTCCTTATATTTGGATTGGTTCTTGTCTAATTTTATCTTATTAGGACTTGATTGAATAGGGCTCATGGCAAGGAAAGAAAGCAACCAAATAATAAAGCCAACGAAACATGAACCAACTTTCTCAAAACAAAATTAATTAAGGGGAACACTAGATTGTGTTGCAAGCTAGACCAACCCTTTTTCTTGCAAAACTTCAGGAACACGCCTAAAATAGTTAATTTACTACTCCAAACACACAATATAAGTGTCCAAAGTAGACAGAATATTAATTTCACTATTATCCAAATAGGAGGCATCTAGTTTCAATTTTCACCCAAGATTGTTTCCAAGCGAAACGACTCCCATCAATTTTAGAGGTTAAAGCAATCATGGAGTTCAAACTCAGAAAGGCCCCTATGGTTTGCGCCATAAATCTATTAAGCCCCCAGACTATTATTTGGATCTATTAAGCCC